GAGGCATAATTCGTACTGGAGATTGTAGTGTTGGACCTTCATCAGTAAGGGCTTTAGGGCTCAGCACCCATCCCAGGTGGTGAATGGGTCTTCCTCCGGCACTGATGCCTCTTCGTTCTTCATATGGTTCAAGTTTTTAGATTATTTGTCCAACATGCAGGCTGGTGAAAGAGTCCAACCTTCAAGAACACCTTTCCTGGCTTTAAAGGATGCAGGAACCCCTGTTTGAATGATTGGCTCTTGGTTTACCGTTTCCATAATTTATTACGATACACACAAACGCATTAGCATAGTCAGTAAAACACGAGTACACATCTTTCAGGTATTCTGTGCTTTCAGCCACGACCCATCCGTTATCAGCAACAATGTCCCTCACCTCGGGCCCTTTTCTGAATCTGACTTGAGCTAATTGCCAATTTACTGCTGCAACCATTTTACCATTACCTTCATCAACATTTTACTTGCATGTATGTGATAGTAGGGATATTGTTCAGTAATTTCCACGTTCTGTTGGGTTACCGTGCTGTGCAAGGGGAACAAAGCAGGATCTCTTCCAGTCTGGGCCAGTTTAACTGCCCTCCAGGTGTCTTGGCTTAGATGAGTGAGTGTTGCCAGTGGTGTATCCATTTGTTGAAGCAGCTCACCTTCTAATTCTTGGAGCCCTATTTTTGGCCTGTGCCTTCAGTACAGCTTGGGCTTCTTCCTTCAGTACCTTCTAAAATGGTTGCATGTCAATCCTTCAGTACTTTCTAAAATGGTTGCATGTCAATCAGTTCTTTTTAGTACACTGTCTTCTTTTGGTGCTTTCGACATCACCCAGCGCTTCCCCCTCGAATCCTTTACTATCACAACTCGAGGCTTCGACTCTTTCCTTCAGTTCTTTCATCTCGAGACATGCTGAGCCTGCGCTTCCCTTTGGTTTTCTAACTCTTGGTCTTTGCAATTTCACTGTATATAATACTTTCCTTGGTCTTCTGGAGCCAAGCAAAGATTCTGTTCAGCTGTTTCCCCATTTCGTCCATTCACGCTAGCTGTGTTCAAGAGCAGTGTTCAGACTCACTTCTGATATCCATCTTAGTCTTACCTTCCTTTTACTTCTTTTTTGGTCTTTAAATCATTTTATTGGGGGCTTGTACAACTCTTATCACAATCCATCCATTGTGTCAAGCACAGTTGCACATTTGTTGCCATCATCATTCTCCAAACATTTGCTTTCTACTTGAGCCCTTAGTATCAGCTTCTCATTTTTTCCCCTTCTCTCCCTTACCCTCCTTTCCTTGATAATTTATAAATTACTAGTATTTTTTCATGTCTTACACTCACCAATGTCTCCCTTTACCCACTTTTCTGTTGTCCATCCCCCTGGGAAGGGGTTATAAGTAGGTCAGTGTGATTAGTTCCCCCTATCTCCCCTCCTCCTTGGTCTTGAGGGTTTATCTGTCCTGGATTCCCTGTCTTTCCAGCTCTTACCTGTACCCATGTACATGCTCTGGTCTAGCCAGATTTGTAAGGTAGTATTGGGATCATGATAGTGGTGGGAAGGAAGCATTAAAGAACTAGAGAAAAGTTGTATGTTTCATTGGTGTTATACTGTACCCTGACTGGCTCGTCTCCTCCTCTCAACCTTTCTGTAAGGTGGTGTACAGTTGCCCACAGATGGGCTTTGGGTCTCCTCTGCACTCCCCCTCATTCACATCGATGTGATTTTTTGTTCTGGGTCTTTGATGCCTGATACCTGATCCTATTAACACCTTATGATCACACAGGCTGGTGTGCTTCCTCCATGTGAGCTTTGTTAGATGGCTGCTTGTTTATCTTCAAGCCTTTAAGACCCCAGGCGCTATATCTTTTGATAGCTGGTCACCATCAGTTT